TATGTCAATATTATTCTCTATGCATGATATTTACTTCAATATGCACTCGGAAATAACATGCAGATCCACCGTCCTTCCAAAACTCACACTGAACTCACTGTTATAAATTCATGTCCATACATGGACAATCTGACATTTAGGCGTTTTTTGGCAAATACCCAAAATAAAATACAATGGAATTTCTATGGTTATATGCTGTAACCGGCTTATGACATGGTACAATAATAATAATAATAATATAACTCATTACATCTTTAGAAATACAAGTTTCCATCAGTATGTAGAATAACATTTTATGAAATAAGACATAAATATGAAATGAAAATAAAAGAACATAAGGTATGACAGATCAAAGTACTGACAAATAATGCTATGAATATTCACATCAACAATTTGATTGGTCGAAACGCTTCAATCACAACAGTCATGATATAAATTAGATAAATCACTGTCATGTGATGGATATGGCAGGTTACCAAGTAACATGACTTAACAAGTACATAAACACACATGATCCATGACTTAACAAGTACATAAATACACATAAACCATAACATAACGAGTACATAAACACACATAAACCATGACTTAACAAGTACAAACACACATAAACCATGACTTAACAAGTACATAAACACATATAATCCACGACTTAACAAGTACATAAACACACATAAACCATGACTTAACAAGTACATAAACACACATAAACCATGACTTAACAAGTACATAAACACACATAAACCATGACTTAACAAGTACATAAACACACATAAACCATGACTTAACAAGTACATAAACACACATAAACCATGACTTAACAAGTACATAAACACATATAATCCATGACTTAACAAGTACATAAACACACATAAACCATGACTTAACAAGTACATAAACACACATAAACCATGACTTAACAAGTACATAAACACACATAAACCATGACTTAACAAGTACATAAACCATGACTTAACAAGAACATAGACACAGAAAAACCATGACTTAACAAATACACAAACACACATAAACCATGACTTAACAAGAACATAGACACAGATAAACCATGACTTAACAAATACACAAACACACATAAACCATGACTTAACAATTACACAAACACACATAAACCATGACTTAACAAGAACATAGACACAGATAAACCATAACTTGACAAGTACATAAACACACATGATCC